TTTATTTGGACCCCATCATCTTATTTAAGAGCTAGACTCTTGTCAGTGAAGCCTTCTCCACTCCTCATATATGATAAATGGTGAACACGGTGTTTAATCTCATTTTGTTATATTTTTTTCTCTTGAAATTTTTGGTTCCGTTTCACACAACTTATTTAAATGTAGATCAAAAAGTGCTTTAATCTATATTGTGTGTGTGTCGACTGCTTGATAAGCCAGTGGGCTTATCAAGCAATCGACATAGGTATCTAATACTACACTACTACATTGGTTAAATAATATTAATATAGTATTTATCTTTCATAAATTTCTCACACATTGCGGTACAGCAAAAAAGTCGTTAAAAACCAAAACCAAGAAAGGCATAAGTGGAGTTATGCCAAAAATGTTTATTACTCCATTAGATACAGAAAAATATAACCCACATCCTTTCCAATTCTTGTAACTGTATCTACAATATTAGACGATCGAAAGAGTTACAAAAATTATAGACGATCTGGGTTATATTTTTTTGTATCTAATGGAGCAATAAACATTTTTCACGTAACTCCACTTATGCCATTCTTCCACGAGGATTATATGAGGATGTTTCATGATAAATTATGAACGCGGTGTTATATCTCATTTTGTTATATTTTTTCTCTTGAAATTGTTGGTTCCGCTTCACACAACTTATTTAAATGTAGATTGAAGCACTGGCTTATCAAGCAATCGACATAGGTATGTAATTTACTACATTGGTTAAATAGTATTAATATAGTATTTATCTTTCATAGATTTCTCACAAATTGCGGTACGGCAAAAAAGTCGTTAAAAACCAAAACCAATATCTGCAATAAGCACATGGAAAAATTCGTGATGTCCGTTGGTTCGTTCCGTGTCTTAGTTGGCATAGCGTCTAGTACGGTTTGCTGGGAGATGTGAGTCCGAATCCAACTGGTTCGAGTGATTTTTTCTAAGTGATTTTTGTTTAATAATTATAACATAAGTAGTGAAGTAATTTTACAAAAAAATAATTGAATATCATGGTGGTGAACATCCTGACGTTCAATGAAAACTTAATTACAATGTTGTGTGTAAAAAGATAATTAATTACAATTTGAATGTGACTATATTAGGATGTATTTATATGAAAATAATACGAACATTACCAATAAAGTATATATGTTTTTTCCTGGCTGCGAGCTCAACTTTGCATGCTGTTTCATGTGTTTCCCCTTTGAAAGAAGCAAGAAAAGGTTGACGTAGTAGATTTTTTCTATGATCACTTCTCGTTTCGTGTATGTGTGATGTTTAGGGAAAAACCAATGACCGCGGTCACGAACAGCCGCGTTCCGTTTCTCTATTTCGCTTCAAGAACCTAGAGTTTACTCTCTTATGCTACTTCATTAGAAAAACTGACTTAACATTTATATTATTCAAGTCTAATAATAGTTGTGATGGCCTAGTTGCTTCTCAATTCAGAGGTCGATTGTTCGAGACCCTGTCCCTGTCCCTGTGATGGGAGATGGTCGTCGTCGCCCATGGACATCTGCAATAACAGATGAGCTGTATACGCGTCGCCATTCTTTGAGAGTCCTGTCGACACGTTTTGTGAAGAACCCCTAGTCATTTATTTATTTATTTTATTTCTAATCTGAAATTGTTAACGCAGGCTCTGACACGTGCGTAACGTCACCAATGTCAGATACAATAAGTGTATCATCTGAATTGTCTGATAATGAATTAATAATGTTCAAATTAATGCGGACCAAGACAATCAGTAAATAAGAGAAATGTTCGATTGCTGTGTACATTCGTAAAGACAGTGTCGTCCGGGCTAGGTACTTTTAATATCTATCGATTTAAAGGCCTTAAGAGTGTTTAGTTAGGGTGGTTATATTTAAAAAAAAAATTCATATATCTATCTGTAAGCGGTATGTAAAGATTACCTTAATAGAGATCATAGTTCAGAAGCTACAAACCCGTGTTGCACCAGTACCTAAATGGCAGTAAAATTATATTTACAATTAAATGACTTGTTTGCAATTTTATTATCAAAAGTTAACTGAAAAGCTAACTTATGACTTTTGTTGCTTCCAGTGTCGCTGTTTATAATGTTCCAATTCCAAGTCGTTTTTACTATTTCATCATAGCATTTAAATATATTATCATTTCATTGAATGAATTATATTTATTCGTTGAATATGTGGTTTTCAAACAAGTATACATATTAAAACAGCCCTCATATTTACCGATATTAGCATGCAAATCGATGGGATTTCAACAGCTTAATAAAGCTAAAGAAATTCCTATTAATTAATTTATTTATTTAATTGCATTATGGATTGCACTGAGAAAGGCATCTCATGCAAACATGGACCCTATTAGGGTGTTGCAATATAAAAGTATACATTGACTTATTTATTCTTAAAAAAAAACAATAAATATTATATTATAGCTTAATTTTTAAGATTACATATTATAACAGTAGTTATTGTCGTGCCATGAAGATGTCAATAATATAAAAATAATATATATATTGTTAAATAAGTTAAAAGATCAAATTTATTGAGATTTATGTGTAAAGAGGTCCTTAACAGAATAGAAACTTTTATCTCTTAGCCATGACATCACTTTGGTTGCAACAATACGAACAATAATAACGCGTACTCTCTAGCAAAGTCGCTAAAACTGTCACTAATGTACAGGTCCTTTCATTTCCACAGTGATCCAATTACTGGATTTCAAAGAATTATTAGTATTATGACTTTAGACTTAAATTATCAAAGTGAATTTATACAATTAATGAACATCGTGCTGTACGAAAGGTGTGTTAAAAGTAGTAAGCTGACCGCAGTCATCGGACGTTGATATATAAAGATATTAGGTAGGATGTTGGTATACATGTTGTCTAAACAAGACTTACAACATTGAAAAAGTGAAATGTGCCCACTACTTAGACTAGGAACTTGTAATATATTAACAATGATGCCTGAAGTAATATATTTATTTGGTTATTTATTTTGCCTAAAACCTCGTCTAATCAGTTTATCAGACAATCCGTAAGATGAACGTGAGTGAGCTCAAGCTTAATATAATAGAAATAATATGTTAATTTACAAAAAAAAGCATCACAGTACACATGCATTCTGCAATATGCAGAATATCTTTATATATCAAGAAATAGGCTCACAATATCTGTACATACTTTAAATTTTATATAATTACTAATGAATGTTTTAGAATAGAATACGTTTAATTGCCAGAACACAGAAATTATACAAGTCTTAAGTATAAGGGTACATTGCATCATAATCAACCTGCAAGCAGATGTGCCAATATTAATGGATTTAATGTTTGGTCTCTTTAGTTTCAAATTAATGTACAACATTTGTAAATTATACTATTTATTTAATTTCATTTGGTAATTTATCGAAAACAGTTATTCTCATAAATCACTTTATTGCAACCAGTTTAGTAGAAAAGATTCATAATTTTTGCTTTAGTTTGCCTTTGAATGACTTTACCACGTGTTTTAAAATATTGAGGATGAGAGTTGACAAATTCATAGATATATCTAATGTACACGCGTGTCAAAGGCAATATGTTATATATGTTTAATGTTTTCGAACAACAATTTGCAGCTGGTAGAATCACGCATTGCAAATTCTCCGAATAATCTGATGCAGCAGATTTAATGTCCGATTGATTTTGTTTACACACTTTTTGGACAGGCTTTCTTTTGCTGTCGAAGTGTTGTTACAGTTCCTCTCTATTGCCGTATTAATTGAAATATTTGTAAATTGAGTTTTGAATAGACTGATTAATGTCAGGAGATTGAATCCTGTCAATAGAAGCAGCTGTCCGATAGCCAACAATTCTGTTATCTGCCACCTAGGATAACTTGCAAATGCCTATCTTATGTCAAATAAATAAGTTAGTAATTTATAATAAAATTATAAGTATCAACAGAATGGAATTTACTACAAGTCTATAACGAAATGGCAAACTATGTAATTACACATGTAAATTATGTCTCATATTGCTTTCATTGCTTGCGAGGCTCTTACTGAAGGGAATTCCATAATCGGATAACAGTGGGCATTGTTGCGTTCCGATTTTGAGGGCTGTGGATGCTGATGAACCTGTAGGCACTTGGGACTTGTCAACTTTGTGTCTCGGAGTGGCAGTGCCCCTCGGATGGCCTGCGATTTGAAGTTCTGAATGGCAATGCGTGGCATCTGTGAATAGGCGTGTCGCTTGCCACTGGGCGGGCAACTTGTTTGTCCCGTCATTTTCCTTATATCATAAATAATACATATTTGTTAATTGTGGTCTTGGTAGTCAAATTGCAAACCTATATGTATATCCATCCATCGCTATACAGAATAATATTGTTCTGAGTGTCATTTAAAGTAGTTACAAGGAGGTATTTTTTAAATTTCTCACACGGTTCCTGCATCAGCAATAAAGAGGAATCAGAGTATCCCACAGGTGGGAATGATTGAGCTTTGCTTATTTAGGTACAATTACATTGGTCTTGGGATTTATCCTTCAAAAGTCAAATCCAGCATTTTTTACATATAACTTACATAATTGAATAACCTATCCATAGCCAGTATGTTTCTTTTTTAAATCTTCTGTTGAGTTGTATTTTCTTATATTTGTGCTATGAGCTAAATTTTTTTTAATTCTAATTGATAGCACAATATGTCACTTTTATAACTTTGTCCATTTGTTAAGGTTTTGATTATGTACAAATATTAAATTGCATGCAACAAATTTTGACATTCTTTTCTGTTAAAGTAACATTTTTACAATTTGAAATTTTCTTTTGTTTATAATAAATTTATGAAATGTCTTAATTTTAACATACACATATTACATATATTTTTTTTAGTTTGTTTTGACTGTAATTTAAAATCAAAGTTGTAGAAGTCATCGAGCTATCTCCCACGACAAACAGCTGGTGATTGTCTCATGTGTAAGAGATGTTATAGCAGGCACCATTGTGGGAGCACTGCCGTGCCGACTAGTTAATCAAGAAGCGACTGCTCCTGTGTTACGAGCAATTCTAGAAGAAGCATGAGGACATGCTCTCCACTTGTCGAATGACCGAGCTTATTCCGGAATGAGGACATTCCTAGAGCAGAATGGCCGTCTGTTAGCGTATCGTGACATTATATTATTTTATTTTGTTAGAAAACTTACTTTGCGTCATTAAGAATTAGTTTCATCGAAATAAGAAATAAATCGATAACATCATCATCGATAACAACGGAACGGTGACAGGCGGCCGCCATTACGAAAAGCATCTTTGACTAGAACAGACGTGTTTTGTTTTGTTTGGATTTATAGTGAAAGATCTTATAATATAATTTATAACAGTCACTGGAGTCTCATTTCTATGTCTACTTGGAAAACGTTCCAACACAATGAGCTATAGAGATTGATAAAGCTATACGGTTTCTTGAAAGTTTTAGTAGCACGGTTCATAATGCCTAATGTCTTGTAGGCCTTAACAAGCATAAAATATGATCAAAGTTATTTCTGAAGGTTAATATTTCGTCAAACAATATACCAAAGTCTCTAACTACTTCCCGGCGTACATTAGGTTTGTTTGGGACCATTGAGCGACAGTTTCAATGTCATTTTGAAGAATGATATTATTACTGCTGTTAGAGATAGTGTTAAAAATGTTTAGATCATCTGCGTATAAGGGACAGGAGCAACGATGTTTTGCAATCAGGTCATTAATAAATATTATAAAAAATAAAGGCCCCAAATGGGAACCCTGGAGCACGCCAGAGAGATAGTAACAGGTGGGGATGAGAACCCTTTAATACATACCGGTTGACTTCTATTGTCAAGATAAGATCGTACCCAAACTTTTTAGTTTCACGATAGTTTTAATTACAGAAAATGGCACTCAACACAAATCACTTAACGTAGACCTTTTTTATAACTAGTTGTGTTTTTTAATGATATAAGAAAAACGAATAAGTATATAAGTAACAAAGAGGGTGGTCAAGCAAACATATTTTTGGAAACCGATACTTTAAACTCTAACACCCAAACACACTTTTCCTATTTCTTTATTTATAAATAAACGTGGCAAAATGCATTCCTATTTTATTTACTAGTCATATGGCATGAAAATCTTTGGCTTCGTTACAGAGTTTAGCGAGTGTTAAAACTAACACGAGTCATTAAACTGGAATATCTCTTGCATTATTATCTCGAGTCATTGAAACAAGAGACAGAGCAGGTCCATAAGGACCAAAATCCCTTGCCACATCCGCTGGCACCTTCTGACTATTCTCAGGCGGCGAACGTCCTCGTCGCGGCAGCGCGAACCGCAGCTTGTCCCAGAACCAAGGATCACTCTTCTCCAAGTATGTGTTGGTCCGAAGATAGGTCTTCAACTCCGGGTCCAAATCGTCCGCTTCCATAACATCATCTAACACCACGACGATCAACCTCGCCCGGCCCTCGTTCAGCATACTCGCGTGCGCCATGCGGAACTCCAGCATCCCCCACACGGACTTAACGAAATTCCTCGACAGAACTATCAATGTACGCCGCGAGATTTCTATCGACACTGATATCTGTTTCGGGATCCACTCGCCAATAACCCAATCCCGCATGTGAACACACGTTTTATAGTCTTCTTTTTCTAACAAAGTCAGTAACTCTTTTACAACATACTCCTCATCGTCGTGAGAGAAAGAGATGAAAACATCGAAAGGGCGTTTCGCGTCGAGCTCCTCTTCCTTTAAGCAGCAGAGACACCAACCTCTTGCATATAAGAAGATTTTGATAGCCTGTCCATATCTGAAGTATATGGCTACAACTAGCGCAATTAACCCAGCAAATATGAGCAAGACTGGAAGTAAAACACGAAAAAGGATGGATTCTAGCAGGTCTCTCTTCGGACAAAGTGTTGACACGGTGACATTACTTATAGGTTGTCCATCTATTGCACAGGTTAGCATTGTATAGTCCTCTACCTGAAATAGGATAATCACATTCATTGGTGCCTAAGAAGTATGAATCACTTTGGTTTTTTTGTTTGAATTTTCAGATATATGGAAATGTTGTTTGGCTAAAATTTTGCTTAAATAAAAACTTCCTCTGAGAGCATGGTCCTAGATAGTATTTTGTAAACTCATATTATTACGTTGGACATAGGTGATGGAGTGAAATACGTTGACGTTTATAGAGATGTTATGTCTCTAGAAGATAAATATGACAAAATAATTGAAATTAATATAAGCATTGGTAACCAAGCAATACGCATCACATGTTAAAATTAGACCATATATATATAGTCTAGCTATACTATATCTTCCTTGTCCCATATTTAAGTTATCTCGCCAACTTTTAGGCAATCCTAAAACCATGTGATTATATAAGTAAAAAACCAAACGTACCTGTTCTTTATGTTCATTTAGGGAAGTGAGGAAGACTTGATTTTGGCAATCGCATACGATAGGATTGCCAGCAAACTTGATGCGTCGATCAGGAGTAGAGAACAGCGCATTTGCAGTCTCGTCATCAATGTAAGATATTACATTGTTGCTCAAGTCAATGAACTGAAAACACATAGGGGACATGATTTTTGAGTGATTGTTTCTCTTGCTACATTGTACGTCATTTTCCTTTAGCCTGCGTTATTAAGAGAATAAATACCTGACAAACACTTAAAAGTTACAACGACGTATGAAATCAACCATTAGCCAAATCATGGACAAAACTACCTAGGAAAATAAAAATTTAAATTTATTTTGCTCATTGTTTCATATCCGAGATGCCAGATCCCGCTCAATGTGCACATATTGCGTTATCCAGTATTTAGAAGTAAGTAAACTAGATAAATTTGTCTGACCTTAAGCGTTTCAGGAAGACTGTGGGCAGTAAAATTCTGGATGCGATTTTCTTGAAGATGTAATTTTTGAATGCCTAATTCTCTTGGCTTTGCTGCATCGTCACTCTGTGGAAATAAAACAATATTAGGATTGCCAAAGTTCTCTTTTGAGGTCAATTAAAAACATGATTCAATTAAGTCGCAAACAATAAATAATATTTAGACGTTACCTCAAGAAATTTGCTGTAGTCATTCACTTTGAATGATACTTCTTCGATGACATTGCGCTCGAGCCGGAGCTCTAATTGACTGTTGTTGAGTTTCGGTAAACCTGAAAACTATTCATTTATAACGTTAGTTTGTTACTCGTTCGTGATTTTCACTCAATTATCAATATTTTAAAGAATCATTTTAATTGGCTGGTCCCAAACTAGAAAATAACTCTTTAAAGTAAGTATTAGCGGAAATATTAAATCCGTAAACTTATTACGTCCTTATTATATATTTTTAATTTTGGTTTCAATAATTTCAATCATCATCAAATTATCATAATCCGCAATTGACATTGTATCTTTACCTTTAATTTTCTAACTTTGCAACTCGAAAGATCGAGATGCTCGAGAGACTGCGCCCGCATGTTTTGCAAACAAAGCTCAGACGTTGCGGTACGAGAAGCCACCAGTCTTTTCAACTTTGGTAACCACAGAGACCAAAGTTCCGTGATCATCGTTGTCGTATCGACTGTATAGAAAAAAAAATACTAGTGATGAGCAAAGTATTTCAACAAAAAGACTAGATCTTTATAAATACACAACACATGTAATGTGAGATTTTAAGCTAAACAAATTTGCACATAAACTTAACTGTAATCATATATTGCCATCCAAATAACATACAAAATTTATTCCAACGTAACGTAACTTTATAACAAACGTAACGGCTGATCTTATAAAATTCTATGTATTTGGATTACACACATACAAGGCACTATTATGCTCCGAAATTGGATATGACCCTATATTTGGAATTTGTTTCATCGATATCCCTTTTGGATGTGATTTATATGTACAAGCGTACAAACGCCTTTTCAAGTTGGATGACAAATATATCACTTTGTCTTGATTTGAATTTACACAGGTGTGTAGCAAAACGAGAACGGAAAGAAAAAACAAAGAGAAACGTGTTAAAGGCCATAGAGAACCGAAGGAGAAAGAAGTTCAGGCATCTGATGCGTCAAGAAATTTTCTTAGATACATCATAGAAGGGAAAATCTAAGGACAGAGAGACAGAGGAGGATTGCGAGCAAGTTATTGAGACAAGGCAAGGGGGAAAATCAATGTAGAGTCGTATCAGAAACTGAAAATTAGGTAGCTTAATAGAGGTGGTTGGCGATTACTCCTCCTACAAGGGCCTAGCTCTTATGCAAAGAGAAAAAAAATTAAATCTATGATAGAAACTAACTAACTGTGGTACCTTGGCATAAATTTAAACGTGGATTATGAGTAAGTGTGAAGTTCTTCAAATGTGGTGCCCGTCCCAATGCCATATAAATATATTCGACGGTGCGTCTATCGAAGCCATTATCTGATAAGTCCAATTCAGCAAGACTCGCAAATACAACATTGTTACTGAAAAAGAAAATTAATCATAAATAGAAATAGAAAATATAACAAAAGGGCATAAGATCATTTCGTAAGTAAGAAGACGAAATTAACACGATTATAACCGAATATGTGGCCGAACGGTTACCATGCCGGACTGCCACGCAGAGGTCCCAGGTTCGATTCCCGGGCCGGGAGAAATAGTTGTATGGCCTACAATTATTTCTCTCGTGAGTTTTGGTGTAATTTGTGGTTGTCTATGTGTGTGTCCATGGCACACACATAGACAACCACATATATAAATAGATTATTAACTTAAATTCGTAAAACGTAATTCGTATATTTAGACCAGATAATATAGAATTTGGCTAAGAAAGTAACATAAAGCTCATGTTCCAATAAAAGCTTTGTTATATTTGTAACACAGGTAATGAAACCCAACGCGATCATAACATTGCGAGACTCATGTGGGATCGTCGTCCAGTAACCGGCAACACATTTCGTTATATTGAGAATATTTTCTTATAATATCATTTTTTCCCCATCAGCCGCCATGCTGAAGTATGAAACATGTTTGCCAGTACCAGTGGTGAAAGAATTTACCAACCAACGTAAGGTACTTGTCGTTTGTTGCCCAGAGTGCGCCAGAGATCCATGAGACGTCACTCATGGAGACACTCACGATTAATTCAATAGCATGAGACTTTCATACTTTACCAAAAAATTATATAAAAATATCCATAAAAGTACTTACAACTGAAAATGAAACAACTGGCTGTTACGTATCTGAATGCTTTCAATGTTCGTTGCGTTGGTAATGCCGATGTCTATCTCAAACATGCGATCTGGTAAGTTGTTGATCTCTAGTTTACGAAGGCTGCTCGCTTTCGTAAGCTGGAATCAGAAACAAGTTACCACTTATTATTGTGGTGAATTTCGCAACCAATATTATGTCAAATATTTCACAAGATGGATGTATACTTATAATACGATACTAGCAACAGAACTTAACAAGGAAATAAATATACCAGAAACGACAACGAATCTGATCTGGAACGGAAAATTTGGGGAATACTTTAAGTAATACAGCATTAAATTTATCTATACCATAAGCAGAACACCTGGCCTAGAATCAATTAAAATTTTAGTTGTTTTGGGTATAGTACCAGAGCTTACATTCGTCACTAAGGCCATTAACCCAGCAATGTATTTATGAATAAATACCCTCAAAATTTACTACGTTACGGTATAAAACACTAACCACTCGGTGAAGAGAATCAACAGAAAGAGACTGCAGATCAAGATGTGTGAGGTTGTAGCAAGTAGCCAGCCAACCCTTATCAGTATCCAGACTCTCCACATCCCAACTTATCAGAGTCAGCTCACGGAGGTGGCTGCAACCGCCCAATGAGCTTTGAGACATACCGCTCTCTAAACCCATCTGAAAAGGTTTTATAAGTAACTAATCATATTATCACATTAATCATAGTGGCTAACTAAGGTGCCAGATAACCTCATCAATTACCTGGTCTCCAACTAGGGCATTCCCTATACTATACGTACCAGAGCAATAGAATTCCCTCCGGGGTACTACCCAGAACACCCAGAACGGAAACAGTTTAGAAAAGGTCATTTCACAGCGCAAACTATTGGGCCACTTAGGTCGTTTAGTGCCTGTGCTCTCCAAAAAGAACTACACAAACAAGCAAATAAACATTACATCGTATTTCATGAATCCCAAATTAGTGGCCTTGAGCCAGCAAAGTAATGTAGCGTAATTTAATTCCTGTTGGCATTCCACTATGGCTCTAGCTTTAGTAATTACGTAAGAGTGGTTTAAACTTTAGAAATATGTAATTTTAGACTTAACCAGTAATTACCTTTTCTATTAATGAGGTGTTGGGCAACTTCGGCAGCTCCGCTCCTATCAGTCTAAAGTCAGACAGCGTAGAGATGTATTTCACGACATCCTTCGGCACACGCGGTCTGGCCAGTACACTCCTCTCATCATAACTGTGGATGGCCATATTAAAGTTTACAACAAACAATCATACTTGGATAAATGGTATCAAATGTGATTTAGTTAGGTTATAAGATTATTACACTTGGAACGAAACTTGGATTCATCATCACTGAAGCCTGAATCGAAGCAGGAGTTCATGCAGTGGAACAAAATAGGCACTGCACGTCCTAAGAAGTTCAAGGTGTCACAACCGGCTGGAAAGGTCATGGCGACTGTTTTTTGGGACGCTGAGAAAATTTTATTGATCGATTTTTAAAAAAGGCGATAATACCATAGGGGACTATATGCTAATCTACTCGAAAAATTAAAAGCTGCCATCGTAGAAAACGGAGGGGAAAAATGACTGGCGTGCTGCTTCTGCACGACAAAGCGCTAGTTCACAAGAGCCATGTTGCAGTCAATGGCTGCCCTACAGAGATGTGGTTTCGGAACACTAAACCACTCTCCCTGTAGTCCAGATCTGGCCCCCTCCGATTATTAATTATTTCCTAAGTTAAAAATAGAACTTCGAGGAAAGAAATTTGCCGAGAATGAAGAGGTAAAGCAGCAATTTTAGACTATTTTGAAGGCCTTAACAATTTTTATAAACTATAGGAGAGATCTGGTAAATATATTAAGATTAAGGGAGAATATTATAATAAAAAGGAAAAATAGTAACTTCTTTAATTTTGCTCCCTTCCTTACCGTTCCGTGAACTTTTTGACCTCCCCTCGTATCAACTGATGAGACGACTAATTCTGTATTGTTAAGCAACACGCCTATACATACCACTTACAGTGACATTCGGTTAATCACAAAGACCTGAAGGGCACTGCCACTGCGCCCGACACCCTGACATATAAAGTTAACAAATCGTTTGTGCCTGTAGTAACTTACCTTTCAAAACCAGCTTATATTACTCCTTAGAGGCAGAAATATATATGGTACCTATGGTGACAGTACTTTTCTGGGTGAACTCTTAAGAAGGTATAGAATATTGTCAACCTAAAAATTTTTCTTCACAGAAGTCATAATATGTTCGGCGTCGATTACTTAGTTGATACAGGAAGACTCAACGACTTACCGTAATTCTAGAGAAGTGAGGTTAAGTCCCTCAAACTGAGAGGCTTTGAGCGCTGGGGTGATTGGCAAATTACTTAATGTTGATGTTTTCATGTTTAGCTTCTTTAACACTGTAGCAAAACGGTCTTTTGGCAATGGACAGTTATAAAAGCTTATAGACTGAAAAATAAATCATAATTGGTTTTCAATTCACTCATCGATGCCTCCACATTGCCTGGCCATTTTTAGTCTAAAATAACACAGATGAATGGATGGAAGTTAAGACTATAGAAAAGTATATTATTTAAGTGCTAGTTATTGAGGAGATTGAAAATAAGCCTGGCAGTGTCGCAAAATTTCCAAGATGAATTATTCCAACAGTGGCCACTCAAAGTTATTTAGGTGTGCATGCTACATCGTCGACCTCATCGTCACTTTTCACCAAGTGAAATGGAGGTCAAATGGATGCTTATTTCCTCATAAAAATAGAAAAGTTAACTTTAACTGTTTTTTAGGTTATCGATCAAGATTTGTTCTTTTGCTTGATATTACCATGCATTACCAATAGAAAAAAGTAACTAAATACATACAGCAACTGTAGCTGTTTCAGCAAAGTGCGGGAAGTTGTAGTCATCAAGATACTCGTACTTAACGTGTGCATTGCATTGCAATTGTACCCAATTGTTGTATTCCATTAACGCTAGAGAGCTGTCGAACCCTGCACATAATTATACACATATACATTAAATTATAAGATCCACATTTGCTAGACTACATTCTTTTAAGTCCGATACCTATATGATGATTAACCGGTATGTTTTGTGTCCAGTAGGTATTAACTTTTACCACGGAATTGCTGCCTTGTTTTCGCGATTTGAAAGGAGTCAGCTTGGCAAAAGTTTTTTAATGTCATGTACTGGTCGTTGAAGGAATATCAACAAAATAGAATCCCAACTAGAGACGATTCTGGCGTCCTTTCAGATCATTAATTCACAAGTATATATCTTAACTTTGAAATCGGCGAGTTTGAGGACGAAGCATTTTATTTCCTATCGCCGGAGCAAGAGCTGAGTCTTTGTTCGATACACACAATAACAATGTCCTTTATTTGTAGGTACCTCTGTTGTGCTGTTTTGTAAATTAGCTTATTCTTCAAGAGTCGTCAACTAAATATCTAATTTTATGTCATTTTGTTTTTTTGGTATCTCTGGGTGAACTTTACTTCTTTTGTCTTGTTTAATTTTAACTACTTATGAACTAACATCTGTCTCTAATAATTTAGTGTCTTACTGTGTGTTTTATTGTACGTGTGTTTATGTCTCACTTTTTTCATCGCATTTCTTTAGTTAACTCGTAAATTTAGACAAATTTTCACAAACTTACAATTTCCAGTCACTTTGTAGTGGCAAAGTGGCTGAGGTTTATTTAAAAACATGGGTAGCATTATGCATTCTCCAACAATAGTGTTACCATTGGTGGTGGTGTAGTTACTGAATACAGCGGTAGTGTAAAGGCACAGTGATATCAGGAACAGTGTGACTTGCATCTAAAAGAATAACAATTAGATAAAATTACTCCTTCAACGGTTTAGGTACTAATGATCTCTTGCTTTAAAGGTGACGAAAAACATTGTTGAGAAACCAACATGTCGCAGAAGATTCACAAAGCTTCAAAGACTTAAGAAATTCCTAAAGCGTGGAAGTGAAAAGTGAAATCGTGTACATCTTTTACACGAGCAGCCTATGGGTAAAGTATAAGCAAAGAACCCTGGATTCATTGATGGTGTAATATAACAACAAAAGGTAATAGAGCTGTCGTGTCACTGCAGTACATGTTTGCAGATGCGAACACAGATGACTTTAATGCCATTATTCGCGAGAGGACTGCCTCACTAATGATACGTGCGCGCGGTAGCGTTAATAGCATCCCTAGCCGTTGTTGCCAATTGGCCGGACTGACCATACCAACAACATTGAGTGCAACTCCACGTACGTAGGGTAGTCGTCTAGCCGTGACATTTTCTCTAGTGTTAAGTCCTTTTACATTGTACTAACCATAGCACGTAAGAAAAAAATACTGTATTAGAAACATTACTATGGATCATGGCTAAAATAAATTATTCTATTCTGTTAAATGATGCAAATTTTGCCAGAAAATGACTACTAATAAATAAAACGTGATTCGCTATTTTTACAGTCCGACAAGAAACGGAAAAGACCTGATACAAAAGATTCTTATTTATAATATTATCTCACTTAACTAAAATAATTTCTTCCCGCTAAAACCGCCAAACACCATAGAGAAATAGTGTTGGTGGTATTAGCTATGACCAACAATAATACCAAGAGATGATAACAGATGGCAGATTACAAACAAAGTCTATGGTCGCGACACAGTCTATGGCATTAAGAAATAATAATTGGCAACGCCGATAAAAAAAGTAAAATGTCATCTGTAATTCAAATTTCTCAACAATAACTACTTTTCTTGTCACCGAATAAATTTTCTGTTTACACTCCCTTCATGATTCTTATAAAACTACACTATTAATTTCACAAGCCAATTATTCTAATTGAATTGTGAAAAGAACAAACATCAAACCATTAAACTTTAAATTAAAATAAGATTCATTTACACAATTATATTCAAAGTTCGTAGTTTCAGAAAATGGTAGTACGTAGGATGTACGGCTTACAATGTTATATATTTCTGTATTTAGTTCATAATAGTGTTGTGTATATGGGTAATTCTTACAAAATCTCGAAATTCTTGTCCTTCAGGTTTATAGAAAAAAAAGTTTTTAATTCCTTCGTAAAATTAATATTTAATGGCAAATTAAAATTCAATTGCTACTAATGCCTTCATAAAATATTGATTATTCTATTTAAAGAAAAATAATAATCATATAAAAATGTCCCCAAATTCATTCCTTCACTATGTCCCAAGTTAATAATCAAACACGTTCTGTGCTTTAAATCAACACATTTGACAAAAAATTTGAACTATCAAAATAAAATATGTTTTTGCGACAAATAAATTAAAAAATATGTATATTATTCATGTGCCAACCAAAAAAGTCATTCCCTCACACTTTTACCTTCACTCGATTTGTGAACGCATTTTTAATCATTGGCAAATGCATTTAAAAGTTTTTGAAAGTTAGGAAGCACTGTAAACTAATCAAAATGACAAAATTTCAATTTGTTTGTCATAGGTCAATGTTGTTTGTGTAAAAAGTTTCTACTACGAAAATATTTAATTTAAAATTCAAAAAGTTACGTTTTTGAGTCATTCTCTCACATCATATGAAAAGATGTTAAGAGGGAGCATGCCAAAAAAGTTTTGACGTTGGCTCCGCCCACATTTGTGAGACAAATATATGCCTGAAGTTCGCGTGACATGCGACATGAGATGCTGAATTTTGCGCATTAAAAGTACCAAATTCGTTTTAGCGGAATAACTCTAAAACTAAAGGGATTAAAAAAATCCGTAGTGACAGTTCTCGATCATGCATAAATATAATTAATTATCTAATTTTTGTCCTAATAACCTGTAGCATTTCGAGGATGAATCGAAAACATGTGAAAATTAGAGGTCATTTCGTGATTTTTATCTATCGAGGAAACTATATAGTTTTATGTTTCTGATTAGTGTCTATGCTTGAATATATCGTGTAGTTACTCATATAATATTTTATTTTTAACTTTAAAGTGGATATACCCCTCTAAAATCAAATCGAAGATTAGGATTTTTTCCTCTGCTCCTTCTTAATAAACCTTTGATTTTATTAATTAATTATACACTCAGATGAGTTTTCGGTAGCAATAAGCTTACACATAACATTAAGTCAAAAAGTAAGTTTATATCGCTATTTTATCTTAGTTTATTTTGATTTCGTCATTCCCTCACCGTCATCTCCTCACCCTCAAGTGTTCTGGGTAGTCAGAACACTTGAGGGTCTTCTTTTTTAAAGTCATTTATTTTGGGGGCTACTAAGTCATCATAAACTGCTTACATAAGTACCTACTATACAATTTAAAAAAAAACATACAAATTCTTACTAATAATTTTCATTAAATTTCGGAATTTCATGAGAACTGCCCATATAACGTTTCATATATCCGTATGAATACATAGACGCATAATTTAATTATTAATATGCGTGCTAGTTATATATTGATGTTCATGAAATAAAGAATATTTCTTATTTAAAAGTTCTTTTTTCTCACTTTCTTTGTGGTATTGTTTTTCTTTTAACAGAGATAGGACTATTTACTTACATTTATCTTTGTTTATTCTTTATTTTTGTTTCTATTCTTAGTATTTTACATCCAGTAGTTAGTTTAGTAGAGTAATTTGACCTATCCAAAAGTGCTAAACGTATGTTAAGGTTAAAATTGCATTAAGTGTCGTAACAACCTCAAAATATGGCTGTGATGGTCCTTTCCAACAAAAAACGAACCATCAAAATCCATTCACAAATATCGGTAAATATGCTTAACATATACAAATGCATACAGTCGAATTGTGAACCTTTTTCTAAAGTCGAATGAAAATAATTTTAGGAATTGGTGCTTTCCTTATAATATAATAATTACGCACACACTCAACATAGCCCCGCACTAGGGAAGCCCTGTGTCGCGGGTGCCATAGATACACACATAGATAACCACAAATTACACCCAAACTCACGAGATAAATAAATGTAGGCCATACAAATATTTCTTCCGGCCCGGGAATCGAACCCAGGACCTCTACGTGGCAATCCGGCATGGTAACCGTTCGGCCACAGAGGCATAGATTTACAGCCGTTTAAAGCGATCTATTTAAATGTAAAAATCTGTAAAAGTCATGAAACAAAATTATGATGTTAGTAATATAGTCCTGCGAGAGGTTGTTTGTCTAAACACCTCAGGACCCCATTTCAGAACTATTCGATATCTCAACCGAATCATACGATTGGAAATCTTTCTCGAATCGAAGGGCGCTTTTCGAGCTATTCAGAACATTCGAGTTAAAACGTTCAATTCGGATACGATATCGTTATGCGACAGCGTCTGTCTTTCCACCAAAGATGTGCGACGTAGCGAGGCAGTGTGCGAGGAAAAAATCCACCAATAGGGTTACTTCAGTTTCCTCGTCTCGCTTAGCGCAGCTCTGGTGAAAAACGGTTAGCGGACCTATAGCGAGAGACGTGTGCGAGGGATGCGGGCGGGAATGTGTGCAAAATGGTGTATTAAACTAGAGCAACTGAAAGTATGACACTAACTGACACTGACACATCACCATCGCTTACCCCTCCACACCGTACCCAGCCCGCGTATAGATGGTAAGAGTCCATAACGCATCCTCACACCGTTTCACATTGCCGCTACACATCCTCGCACCACCTCGCTACCTCACATATCTCTGGTGAAAAATAAAAATTCTTTTACACACATTTTTTGCCTTTAAAGGCCTAAGATATAGGAATGCATTAGTCTTGCATTAAAATAATTTAATAAAATTGATCAAAATCCAGACTTTATTCAAAAAAAAAAAAAAAATCCATATTACATTCTTGCTTTGTAAACAATAGGACGTTTGTAAATTTCATTCGATATCTTTGTTCTGAATAACGTTTGTAGCCTTTGCCAGTCGAAAAGTTCGACTATTCGTATATCGAGTGTGAATCGGGGTTGTGAATAAAAATGCAAAGAAATCGGTCGACAACTGAGTTATCGTAAGGTTTTGAATCGACCCCTTATAAGTTATCATTGTTCTCGACTGTACTAGGCATAGTGTTAGCAACATTTAGAGTAGCGAAACATTGAGGTGATCAGTTTAGAAGGTTTTGTTTTGGTAACCGGTTTTCCTTATAGAATGTTGTCTGTAAATAGTACGTGGGATTTCCTATCGGTTTTTCTCATAACGAGGCTAATGTCAGCCTAGAATCATTACTGTGACAACGAAAAATTGCAAAATTACGTATTTAATATGTAACTATCGATGAAATTTGATTCCATTTGTTTTGTAATTAGATGTTTTGTTGTTTTTCCCCACGCCACCGAATAAAACTGCACGCCATTATTAGAGAATAGTTTTGAATAGTACAGAAGATAGAATAATACAGAATAGTTTTGGAATATACGGAGGCATACACACAGGTCAGTTGTTGGCGCTTCTATATTTCAGTGCAAACGAGAGTTGATGCTTATAAGTAATGCATTACTGATAAAAAGCCCTTATTTTGTCTCTGTTTCTGGTTATATATTTGATGCTTGACGGTTATAGATATAACTAGCGTGACGTCATCCTGAGATAAAATTTAGCAAAAAAGATCGGTTGATGTCCCTATGGCGGTATGCACCTATGATTTTAATTTCTAAGTTACGACATTTGTGAATTTTTAGTAGCAAACCCGCATTTTTTTATGATACCAAGTGACGGGACGAACAAGTCGTGCGCCTGGTGGTAAGCGACATGCCTATCCATAACAGTTGCAGTGCCACTCAGAGCTTTAAATTGCAAAGATCTGAGGGGCACTACCACTGCGCCCGTCACTGAAGACATAAGTTGACAAGTCCCATGTGCCTGTAATTTCACCAGCACCCGTATCCTGCAAAACCGGAACACAAAAATGCTCGCATTACTGCTTGGCGGCAGAAATAGGTAAATGTGGACGAACTGGACGTACTGGGCGAACTCTTTCATAAGTAACTCTACTGCGATAAAAATGACATGCATGCATGACAGGCACTTTGCGATTTAAAACTTTGAGACCAACTGCAACTGTCGTTGATAGGCGTGGTACTCACCGACAGGCGCGCGACTTGTTCGTCTCGTCATTAGGTATCATAAATATATCGTTTACACGCCACTCTGCTGGGCACAGATCTACTCTAAGGAGAAATGATTACATGGAACTATATTCTTATGTCCTTAAAGTTTTTATTCGCTTACCATTTTAACATAGAAAACATTTAATGTCATACATTGGAACAGTGTCAAAGATTGGTACAGTTACAAATTATTGTTAAACTCTAGGCAAAAATACCCCAGCATAAGACAGATGTGATAATAATTGTGAATGTGTTATTATCATTAATTAAAGTACAATATTTAGCTAAATAAATAACGTGCTTGGAGATGAAACTATGTTTTCTTTTCAACACAAAGTTTGCGTTTGTAAAAAACATTATTAAAAAAAAAGAAATATCGATTTAGATCCGAAAACAAAAACTTTGTCATTTCCAATCGAGAAAATTCAATTCGTAATAAGTAATGTTTATAGTCACACTGGTGGGCACAGCTTTGCTCTAAGGAGAAGTTATGTAACTATGTCCTTATGTTCGTAAAGTTCATATTCGCTTACCTTTGCAATGTCCATTTTTTGTAATACATATAGTTTTTAAACGTCACAAACTTCTTGAAAATATATGAAAAATAAATTGTGTTCATTCGAAATGAAAATGAGATATGAGTACGTAAATTAATTTAACATTTATCGTTAATTATTATGTGCATTAAAATTGTTGTTATTTTTAACTAGAACGTAGAAGATACCGGCCGCTTTGCTTAAGGATAAATAACTAAGAAAACATTGCGCGAGCGGCTGGTTTTTAAGAATCTATACGTACATATACACTTATTAGTCTTATTACATGTGTTTATAACGGACAGGTCAGTTTGGCGAAGGTTTCGTAACGCACTTATTATCATCTGTTATTACTACGTACGTATGTTTGTAAATATTTTATTGTCGGGCTCCGAGGTCGAGTGGCACACCGGTTTTCATGGTGTCGCCTTCTCTGAAGCCTCGGGTTTGATACCCAGCCAGATTAATGTAGAAACTAACTTTTCTATATTGTCTCGTGTCTGGGTGTTTGTGGTACCGTAGTTGTTTCTGATTTTCATAACACAAGTGCTTCAGCTATTTTAAGATCAGGAGCTCTCAGAAAGTCGTGTTTGAAAATGAAACTATTTTTTCGTATCTAAGTCGCGTATTATTTGTTATTTCAAACAAACTTCAGGACCTGTAAAGGGCCCGAAACGTTGATTTATTTGACAAAACAAACCGTATACATATACGCGGTATAATCTCAGTACTAAGTACTATAAAAACTGACCTCAAAAGTCATTCATCTCCTAGTTTGCCACCCTTAGAGGTGGAATATTTTCTTTAAGTGGGACAATTCCTGAGGTATCCTCTTTCCAATAAAAAAAGTTAAAAATTAATTCACAATGTTATCGCGTAACATACATACAAAAAAAACATACAGTCAAATTGAGAACCTCCTCCTTTTTTAGAAGTCGGTAAAAATAAAATCATTTACTATGTGTAAAAATGTCGAAAACCTAAGAATTAGTTATCATGTTTAGGCTTATCAAATATTTCTTAACGAATTGCTAGATTTTTTTTTTGGAGTAAGGTGCTTACTTACTCCTGTTTTGTATTAAGGCTTTTTAAATTTTAATTCTGTACTTGAGAGGTAAAGAACCTTAAATGCCAAATAGTAATATTTACTACAGACGGTTTTATAAAGAATACGGCTCATGTAATGGTCAAATTAAATATAATTAAATAAGAAACAAACTACTATAGGATTTAATGTATTTTACCATTGCTTGATTTTTAACATTCTAAAGTAATTTATTTGATTTTAAATTCGGGACAAAATATTAATAGAATCTTTGTCCTACAGAAACGTGCGGTTAGGGCAATTTACAATCAGGGCCCCAGAGTGTCTTTGAAAGAGAAGTTTAAAGAGATTAACATTCTTACACTAACGCAATTTTATGACAATGTTATTTGTGTCAAGAAAAATATTATTTTTTTACGAAAAATAGTGACAGACATAACATTAACTTTTAACTACCTCCGTGGCCGAACGGTTACCATGCCGGACTGCCACGCAGAGGTCCCAGGTTCGATTCCCGGGCCGAGAGAAATATTTGTATGACCTACATTTATTTCTCTCGTGAGTTTGGGTGTAATTTGTGGTTGTCTATGTGTGTGTCCATGGCACCCGCGACACAGGGTTTCCCTAGTGCGGGGCTATGTTGAGTGTGTGCGTTATTATTATTATTATTATTAATACGTGGAATCTATATAAAGTCTCAAATTAATTTAGGGGATAATGTATTTATGCCATTTACGAAGTTTAAAAGTATAGTGAAACAAAAATGTTGTACTAAAGGTTATAATACAGCTTCTGCATACTTGAATGACAAAAATCCGTGGTAGTGACCCGTTTAGCTCTTGTAAGTAGTCCCGATCTAAATAAGATGTTTAAATTAAATATTGTAATGATAAATGTATACAAAGAGCAACCCCTAGAGTTTCTAGCTCATTCTTCTCAGGGGAGTCTACCTTACGAATGAGCAGTAGAGTGTAATCAGTATGACGATTTCAAATATGTTATGACCAACAATTTCAGTACTGTAACGTAATGAATGTCTTTGATAAAGCTAAACTAGCAATTGTAACCGATTATTGTCAAAAAATTAAGTCAATAAAAATTCCAATTACACCAAATTCATTAAGAACATTATCACATCTACTAAATGAGTTTGGTTGTGTGAACTTACTAAGGTCCTTTATCTGTCACCTACAGAATTGAAGTGTTATAAATAGAAAATTACATTTTTTTTAAACCTGTAAAAGGAAAAGTGTATACAGGAACGAAAGCAGAGATAGATGCAATTGTAACCTACTTAAGTTAATAACTGGGAAGTCCAATGAATCCGGTATTGTGGTTTTTCCATGGAGGAACAAAAGTAATAAAAAGACGGTAGGTAAGTATATCAATTCTTTAAAGAACGAACCAAATCACGAAAATCGCTGATAGAAAGCCTCGCGAAGTGCAACGAAGACAAAATCCACCAGCATTAGACTAACACCCTTTTTAGCGAAGATATAAAGTATTTTGCCGTGTGCACATGAAAATAATAAAACAATTTTATGACACTGTTTATGATCAAGACTAGTTAGTAATAAGTCAGTCAGCAGTAGCAGTAGAGCTCCGTGGGAGAAGAGTTCGTCCAGGGAAGTACTATCACCTCTCAAATTTCTGCCGCCAAGTTGTGGGTAATGTGTTTTGATGGGTAAAAGTGCCGATGAATCTACACGCACATCGGACTTGTCAACATGCCTATGTCTCACATTTGCGATTTAAAACTCTGAGTGGCCATGCAACCAGAGATGAACAGTGAGTTAAAACCCAATTAACCCGCCCGGGCTTTTATTAAAAACAATTTTTTTTTAGGCGAGAAAGTGGACCTCCACACAATGCACATCTCCCAATCCTGTGGATTCTCACTACTAATGATGCACATTACTATTAAATTTTTATGAAAAGTGCATACGATCTAAGGATTTTTTGTATCGATTTATTTCAATGCGCTTTCTAAACGAATTAATTCTATGAAAAGGCAAATCGAATCATCCGGGTCAGAAAGCAATAAACATTTTGTGATAACATTGTTAAATTTGAACTAAACTTAAACTTCTTTTAACCCGATTTAAACACGACATTAACAAAACTTCGGGTAAGGCGAGTCATATTAAGGCACACGCTAGAAACTAATTTGAAAGGGTCATTGTTATCGAAAGGAGGTACAGATTTAACATACCAGCCCCAGTCTTCCTATTTCTAGGATTTATTACAATTGCTCGCCTGAATAAATCCGGTCTTTGGTTCGCAAATTTACTTACCTCCAAAATATACAATCTTAGTTACATTCCAGTTGCGGGACTAAAGTCATGGTATAAATAAGACAAGGTATAGTAATTCCGTAAAACCGACGTTAACAAAGCGCCGAAGCAAGGAGAGCATGCACAGGTAGGGTTATAGCTCGGATATGTATGTGAGGTGTTTCTGCCGAGACAATGGAAATACATCTGCACACTCGAGGACCTGTCCAACGCCACTGATAATGCGGCGCCAGTCACTAAGCACCTCACAAATATAAACGTCAGAGTCGACACGCTAAGAAGAACAAACCGCCGTACTACTTGGTACTTACTTGGTACTTGGTGCAACGGGCTGGTATCCGCAACTCGACGACAAAGCGCCTATTTTGCGTGTGGTGGGTGCAGGGTCCTACTCGTGCCACCCAAGCTCCTCCAGGAATCTCAGCAGCCTCCTTGGTTTGCTGAAGACTTCGGGGAGCGACCTTGGCACTCCAAGGTATTTTGCCCTGTAGTTGGCCACGCCGGAGCACTGAAGTAGGATGTGCGCAGCCGTTTCCTCCCCCTCCATGCACGCTCTGCATAGAGGGCTGTCTGTGATACCTAAATTGAAAAGGTGTTTATTATATGGACCATGACCCGTTAGGGCGGCAGTTAGAGTGCGAAGCTCTTGCCTTTTAAGTTTAATTAGTATTCGAGATAGACTGGCATTGAGCGTTGGGAGTGCTTCCCTCGCCTGTCTACAAACCGTAAGGGTGGTCCATGTATTATTATGTGAAGATTTTGTACCTTTGTGTATAGTTGTTCTAGACCATTGGGAGGGGAGGGACACTATCGGTTCTGGTCCTACAGCGTCCGTCTCCGACCCTTTCCTGGCTAGTTCATCTGCTGCATCATTGCCACGTGAGCCGCTGTGTCCTTTAATCCACTGAAGAGTTACGTGGTTTTGTATACATACCTCCATGAGTGCTTGATGGCATTCGTAAATGAGCCCTGAGTTTATGTCATAGCTATTCAGTGCTTGAAGTACTGACATACTGTCGGAGAGTATTCGAATGGAGTAGTTCTTTACTCTTCTCGCTATGATTGCTTCTGCTGCCAACTTGATGCCCATGCATTCAGCCTGGAATACTGTGTTGTGGTCACCAAGCGGTGCTGATATCCTGATATTGAGGTCTTCTGAGAATACCCCAGTACCTGTTCCTGAGTTTGTTTTAGATCCGTCGGTGAAGACTCGGACCTCTCTGGGGTTCAGTCCTTCGTTGGGATCTTCAAATAATTGTATCTTATATTTCTTGTCAAAGATGTATTGTTTTGGGATCCTATCCACAACCGCCTCCAGTAGCGGTTCCTCATTGACAGACTTGTAGAGGATTTCTGTATGTGGGGTCCTCATGTGCTTCCAGAGGCCGGCTCTGTTTAGACGCACTGCTGTTGACGCCGCTTCCTGTCTGATGAACAGTGGGAGGGGTCGAAGGTCCAGCATCGCTTCGAGGGCTGCAGTTGGAGTTGTCCTCATGCAGCCCGTCGTCGCCATGCACGCTAGTCTTTGGAATTTGTCCAGTTTGTCGGTTGCGGTCGTCAGTTTGGTTCGTGGCCACCATACTATCGCGCCGTAACTGATCATGGGTCTTATCACCGCAGTGTAGAGCCATAGTGTAATCTTGGGTGAAAGTCCCCATTGTTTACCCACCATTCTATGGCACTGCCAGAAGGTGATAGTGGCTTTTTTAATTTTGTTGTCCATATGTTTGTTCCAGTTCAACTTGTTGTCCAGTATTACTCCCAAGTACTTGACTTC